TGTTTTGTGTGGGAGGAGATAGGGGATGTACTCCACGGTTTAGGGAAGATAGGGATGGACCTCTAAAACCGGATTTTGTTTTGGGAGGAGATAGGGGATGATCCCATTAGCATCACTTTTATGTGTGCTTATTTATATAGAAGTGTTTTATTGATACAGCACTAAATGTGTATCAATCTGGAAGTATGAAGTGTTTTGATTGAGCTTGAGTCTCATTTGTTTGTTGATATTGGAAGGATGTGAATATGATATTGTAATTCACTGTTGGATTGGCCAGGTTCTGAGATACAATAATCAAATGGGAGAAGACCGGGATCGCTATATAAACATAGATGAAAATATCATGGAATGATTTATAATATTCAATTTATTTTGATCTTCCAACACTACAACAAAACTAAATATTTACAGTATCATGCTTACGGCATGCATTACATGCATGTCGAAATTAGTACATTCTACAACATTTTTTTTTTTGCAAGCCGTTAATGTTTTGTCAATAACAGCATATATGCCATGTAAGTCATTAATTCATATATTTATGACATGCAAAAATATGCCGTAAAAAATGTACGTTTTTGTGACTTACAAAAGTATGTCGTAAAATATTTGTACTTAAGACGACATACATTTTATGCTGTTAAATCTTATAACTTTACACGACATGCTAATGAATGTCGTGAAAACTTGTACCCAAAAAAAAATGCAATTTGATTTTTTTTATGGCATGCAAAAGTATACCGTAAAAAATATATATTTTCACGGCATACAAAAATATGTTATAAAATATTTGCACTGAAAACAACATACATTTCATGTCGTAAAATATTAAATTTTATATTTTTTTGAATTTAGTGATTTTTTTAGAAAATTAAAAAATATTTTTCCGTCTAAGTATATGTAAATTATTTGAATTTAAAAAGTAAATTTTTTTTAAAAAAAAACTTACGCCACACTCCCTCTCATTCTAGATCCATACTTGTTTTTGTCCCAAACCGTCTCATTCTCTGGAGAAATTATATTTTAATTATAAATAATAATAATAAAAATTCTAGATGTTCCTAAATATTTATAAATTTCTAGTTGATATGACAAATTTTTATTTTTTTTTCAATAAACTAGATATAAAATTAACTATTTACGACTTTCTGTTTACGATATGCATTAAATGCATGTCATAGTTAGTGTAAACTGTGGCATTTTTTATTTGTGAGCTATTAATATTTTATCAATAATGACATACATACCATATAAGTCATTGATTCATATATTTACGACATGTCAAAAAATGTCATAAAAAATATAAACTTTCACGACTTACAAAAATTTGTCATGAAAAATTTATATTTAAGACGACATACATTTCATACCATAATATATCATAATTTTACAAGACATGCATTAGCATGTTGTGAAAACTTCTATTAAGAAAATTAAAATTTAATATCAAGTCAAATAATATTTAAAGCCAAATAAAAAGGTTTAAACCCAAAAGATAAAATAAATAAAAAGAAATAATTTATATTTTAAATAAATCTTAAAAAATATATTTATAATTATTCTAAATTTTCTATATTTAACTTTTCTAAAATATAATTTTTTTTTTCCATATTCAAATTGAATTTAAATATTATTCATATGTCTATATCTATTTTAAATGGCATGCTAACACATGCCGTGAAGACTCCTTCTTCATCTGGTAAAAATCAAGGTAAAAGCAAAATCATTACATATGTGTTGGATTGAGTGATTCGGAGAAAAAAGAAAAGAAATAGATAGATATGTATTTCTCTTACTTGTTTGGATAACTTAAGTGGAGAGAAATTGAAAGAAATGAACAGAAACGGAGAGAAACTCATTTATCTTATAACCTTTATTTTCAATTTTCCCAAAAATAGAGAGATTGGAAAAGAAAATAAATCAATAGATTCTTATGTTTTTATAATATCAATTTTGTCCCTGTAAAAGTAAAAGAAATAAAATGATTGAAAATATAAAAATGTTATTTTGGTAATATAACATAAAATAATTTTTTTTCTATTATAAAATCTAATCAAATAAGAAGAAGAGAAATCATAATCATTTCATTTCTTTTATTTCTTACTTATCCAAATAAAAAAAGAAAGAAATCATAATATTTTTTTTTCTCTTCTATTACAACTTAAATAATCATTTATTTTCTTTTCTCCCAATCATAGGGTTACTTTTGAGATTTTAATTTGTTTATATTTGTGGAATTCTATTTTTGCCCAAATCAAACGTGACTGAAACCTCTCTCCCTTATTTGAAACCTCTCTCTCTTATTTTAGGATTTTAATTTGTTTATATTTGCCTCGGTTTGAAAAGTGGGTTAGTTTTTTAATTTTTTGGTTTTTTTGTTATTTTAGTCTGGGCTATTTTAGTCTAGTTTGGGAAATTTTTTTTGACTTTTTGACTTTTTTAACTTTTTTTGTGAGAGAGAATTGTAATGATTATGAGTTAGATTTGATATTTTATTTTTTGTGACTAAAATAGCGTATTTTATTTTTTTATGACTATTTTAACTAAAAACGCCTGACTTTTTCTTCCAAACGGAGCCTTTGTAGACTCTCTCTCTCTCCCCCTCTCCTGCAATCCCTCATTCTCTCTGATTTCGCCATGGATGGGAGTAAGCAGAGGTTCGAAGCTCTCGGAGAAGCAGAGAGGTAAAGAGAAGACGATGAAGGAGAAGAAGATGATGATGATGATAGTGGCGGTGGCGGGAACGATGTAGAATTGGAGGAAGTTGTTGATGATGACGGTGGCAGTGGTGAAGTTAGAAGCCAACTCGGTGGGTTAGACTGTTCGTTACCACCTCCAATCAAAGCACAGTTGGGCGGTTCTCAATTGGAAACCCTAGCCAACTCCGATCTTCCATGCGATTTTGTTGCTTCTTCTCGCCATTTCTCGGGTACGATCACTAATAACTTCTCTGTCTCTGTCTCTGTCTCTGTCTCTGTCTCTCTCTAACAAGTTTGTGGTGATGATCTGACAGAGGTGCCAGTGGTTTATGCTCTACTATGGCTGCTGGATTCGGCTGCATTCAAGGTTAGGAGTGTATTTTCACTCTTACCACTGAATTTTGAATTGTTCATTTCTGCCACTTCTGATTGATGCATCTATTTTATTTGTTTATTTTTTTGCTTGTTTTTGTGTCTGTTTTGGTTGAGTTTTTTAATTTTTTTGGTCTTTCATTTCACTCAAGTATTGGTGTATGTTATGAGATTTATGGGTTTTGAGATTTTTATATAATTTATGTATTTGGTATGCATTTCATAGCTGGATCTGTTCGGATTGTTTGTGTCTTAAGGTTCTGGGGTAATGTATGTTGATTTGTCTCTCAAATGGGTAGCACATTGACTCTACTCCTTTAGGGGATCTTTATAGGGTTGCTTCAACTTTTTCTTCTCCACTGTCTTTTCCTTTTTCTCAGATGAAAAAAATATCATCAATAGATATCCAAGTCAACAGAACTCTGGTTGTGTTTTAGAGATTGCCTCCCTTTTGAGTGGGAAGTTGGCTTTACAGTTGCCGAAGTTACAGAGCTTGTGAGGAAAAAAAGAAAAAGGAAAAGAAAATCTTTTAGGTATGTTGTTGAGGGATACTTGTTGGAGAATGTCAACAGAACTCTGGTTGTTATGTAATTAATTTTATTTTAATTTTCTAATTTAACAATGAATTATGTTGATGAATATTGTAGTTTTTCCATGCCATCTGTTCTATGCATCTAGTGCTAAGACATTTAGAGCATAAAGTGTCCGGCGTTTTGTTTCGTTTTGTTTTGTTCGTTTGTTTGTTTTCGTTTTTTGTTTTAACTTAGGGGTGTGCGCGGTGCGGGTCGGTGCGGTTTGAGAAAAAAATAGAAATCGTATTTCGGGTGGCGGATTGATAAAAGTGTCACTAGAATTTGCTATTTTCCTTATCGAAAACCGGCGGTTCGGTTGGCAAATAATGGCGGATTTGCCTTGGCGGTTCGGGCGGATTGGCGGTTTATAAAAAATATAATTCAAATTACAAAACTTAAATCAAAGAGTAAAAAAAAGACGAGAGACATCGTGATGTTAAGCATCTTGCGAAGCTTTCTTCTGATGCAGCAAGTGTAGCAACAACATGATAATATCAACGACTATGCCATCAGTTCATTACAAGTATCTGTGGAAGCTGCAATGATCAAATACAATACATAAAATTCCCCTCGAGCAGTAATGTAATACTATATTCTAAGGTATAGAACAACAAGCAAACTTAAGTAAAAAAGAATTTTTAGAATCCTATAAAACATGATTTAATAGCGGTGCGGGTCGGTGCGGTTTGGAAGAAAAATAGAAACCGGCGGATTGATAAAAGTGTCACTAGAATTTGTCATTTTTCTTACCAAAAACCGGCGGTTCGATTGACAAATAATAACGAATTTGCCTTGGCGGCGCGGTTCGGTGCGGTTTTGGCGGTTTCGGCGGTTTCGGCGGTATTATGCACACCCCTAGTTCTATGCATCTAGTGCTAAGACATTTAGAGCATAAAGTGTCCTGCCTTTTGTTTTGTTTTGTTTTGTTCGTTTGTTTGTTTTCGTTTTTTGTTTTAACAAATGAATTTTGGGCATATGCAACAAAGAAATTTTTGACTATACAAGAATGGCAACAAACAAAAGAATGAGTTTGTTATTTTTGTTGTTTCTCTGTTTTTTGGTATTTGGTTTTTGGTGCCTCATAATTGTGAATGGTATTGATATGTTATTGTCATGACTGTTGTTTTTACAAGAACTAGAGTGCGAACTAGAAACATTACTTACTGTGCAAGTCCAGCTTCGATTTTGTGATTTTTGGCCACGAGTAATTTTAATTTTGGGAGTTTTCTTTGTTGTTGTAAATTTAAATTGTTTGATCACACAGATATTACAAGACTCTTTCAATTTTATTCGATTCCTTTCTTATGTTGTTTCTTCGTATTCCTCTGTTTCCTCTGTTTTTTTCTCAGGTATACAGAATTTGGTGGTGTAGTTCCTTATAGACCTGTTGAAGACTTGGCATTTTCAGTTGCTAGGTTTATACAAAATAATGGTTCATTCATGAATTATTATATGGTAAGTCAATTCCAAATTATATTATTTATAGAAATTGTTCAGCCCATGTACAATGAATTTTTTTCTTTTCTTTTCTGTATCAGTACCATGGCGGAACAAATTTTGGGCAGACAGTTGCTGGTCCTCTTCATTGCCATTAGCTACGACTATGATGCTCCGATTGATGAATATGGTATGATACCCAAAAACAAAAACCAAAAATACAAAAAATACAAAGAAAAATGCGTGTATACACATGCATATATTGTGAGATCATGAGTAAGATTATCGTGCATGTATATATGATACGAATAATTTGTTATCTTGAAGGATTACTAAGAGAACCAAAATGGGGGCATTTGACAAATTTGCATAAAGCTATCAAGCAATGTGAACCAGTTTTGGTTTCCTCGTATCCCGCAGTGACTTGGCCTGGCAATAATCTAGAGGTAGATTAAGCAAAAACTATCAGGTAAATGACTTGGCCTGGCAATATATACTGTGGTTTTCAACATTTGTCGCTTTTTCGACAATTGAAACTCGCTCTTTTTCATCAACGGTCAACTATCAGGTAAATGAACTTATTTAGTAATTTTAACAAAAAATTGAAAAGACTTTCATGAAATGAGCTTTGACCTGTATCTTGATTTACTAATACATGTTTATGGCAGGAACCGTGTACGGGCTGCTAGAGAATCCAAAACTGACATATAGCAGCACTGTGAAGTTGAGAGCCGGAATTAACAAGATTTCTTTACTAAGTGTTGCTGTTGGCCTTCCGGTTAGTCCATACCTTCTGATAAAAGTTTACATTCTTGGGATGTTAATGACAGTAATGGAATCTTTCTAAATTCTATTGGATCGATTTCATAATGTCGGTGTGCATTATGAGACATGGAACATGGGGGTTCTTGGCCCGGTCACATGGAAGGGCCTCAATGAGGGGACAAGAAACTTGACAAAGCAACAGTGGTCTTACAAGGTTTGTTTTTGTTTTCATGAGTTTTCTGCTTCCATTTTCTGTTTCCAAGTATACTCTACATTTCAAAATGGTAAAAGTCCAAGGCAATGATGAAACCAGTAAGTTTCCTTCAAAGTCGAGTGGTGAAAATAATAATAAAGGGATACCAGAATTTATCAGAAGATAATAATAATAAAGGGATACCGGGATGAAAATAATGCATGATATGGGAAAAGAAGTTCATATAGTTCATAAACAAGCAATAAAAATTAAGATTGATGTTTCTATGTTGGTTGGTCTAAAAGGCGAAAACTGCAAACACTTGATGGAAGTTCCTCTGTTGAGTGGGCTGAGGGATCACTATTGGCTACAAAACAACCCTTGACATGGTACAAGGTAATAATCATCCCAAACCCCCTGTTAACGCCTTTTTATTGATACTTATGAGTTCCATTACCCATAGACGCACAAATGAATTCATAAAAAAGCTTTTAATTCATTGAACAATCTTTCCAGACTACATTCAACGCACCAGCAGGAAATGATCCATTAGCTCTTTTTTTTTTTTGGTTGATTCTCCTTTCTCATCTCTCTCTGATTTTGATTTGATTTCTAGAGTTTTGATTTTGATTTCTAGGGTTTTGATTTTGATTTTGATTTGATTTGATTTGATTTCTATTCAATTAAGCTAAATTTTTCTTCCTTCCAGTTTCAGTTCAGCTTTTTTTTTGTTGATAAATACAGTTTCATTTCAACTTTATGATCTCAAGCATCAAGGATTCATAGAGACAGGAGCTTATGTGTATTTTGAATTGTGTTGTGTTTATAGCTCTTCAATGAAAATTTCTATTGATTTGGTTATGTAACATGTTTTGATGGTTTGAATGTCTCTGTTCTTACAGAAATTGTTTCCAATTGCTAGTTAAATTTTGCTTTGTTCTAAATTTTGATGGAGATATTAGTTGCTTAGTTAGTATTATTAAATTTAACTTGCAAGAAAGATATAGAGATCATAGATGCTCTTAGCAAGTTGCTTGACTTTAAGACTTGTATATAGAGATTCCAATAATTGACTTGAAGCTTTAACTCCCTCTTAATCAACTGCCAACGGTCTCTGCTTTATTGTGAGAATCGTGGTAGCAATGATAACACACATACATGGATCTCTTTTAGCTGCCCCTGTTTGGCCATTGAAAAAGAATTTGCCAAACGCCACTTAACATAGTACTTTATTGTTTATTCATTTCGTATTATTCATCTATTTTTAGCAAATTACAGCGGCATATTGCAAAGTGGGTCTGCTATGTTCACACATAATGCTCTATCGGATTATATCCCAATTATCCTTTATCCTGATGTCTCAAATTATTTCAACTACATCATGAGTTTCTCTAAACATGATAAGACAAGAGAATTGGTGATTGGGGATTTGATCTATGTCTTATCATTATAAGTGTTTCAAAACTATCGTTAAAAAAAAAGGCAGTTTATTTTGTCATTAAGATTTGTTAGAATGGACTACTCCATTTCGAGAGAAGTTATTTTGTATTCTTGAGACAATATCCTATACTTTTTACGAATAATATGATTACAGAAGTACATTATGTGTCTAAATAAAAGAATTTACACGATCATGTGAATTTTGAAGAAAAATTGTATGGCTTAGATTTAACACTTAAAAGTAAGCAAATCAAATTCAAAATGTGTTTAAATTTAAAGTAAGCAAATCAAATTTAAACACATTTTAAACTCATTGTATTGTCCATACATTTACAACATGGGATTATATGCTATGTTCAATTGGGATCACCCATTGCATTACAGTTTCCTGTGCCGTCATGACAATCGGTCTTTTCTTCCTCATTGTCAACTTGTCTTTGTTATTCAACTGTTTTTGCTCCTATTGGAGATGAACGGAAGCAAGTTCTCTACAGGATTCATTACGCCTGTGGACATATCCAATGCTGTGTAAACATTACTACTTTGTGCTACAATTGTGATTCCTTCAAGTAAACATTACTACTTTCCATCTTCTCCCTCTATTACCTCTGTTATATGAAATTCTCATTGCCCTTTGCTTTTCCTGCATATCATGCTCCCAGGGAAGGAGTTGCACAATACATGAAAACTAAATGGAGGGTGGTTGCAATCTTTAATGTGGTTCTGTTTGTTGTTTTGGTGAGAAACTCCTCTCCATCTAGTTTGGAACAAATCAAATTATCTTTTTCTCATTAGCGAATGAGGAACAACAGATAGTATGGCATATGAATTGCATTTTATATCTTCTATTGTTGAAATTGACAAATTGTATTATGAAAGTAGCATAATATTTGTAGATTATCATTTTATTGACAGTGTTTATATGATAGGACCTTCTAATCGAGTTCATTTATTTTTCTTACAATTATCTGTTGTGAAATCGATCAATAATCTACTTTGTGGGATGCTGTGCGAACCGAAATGCTACAAGGAGCCACTCTAAAGTTTGAAACAGCCCTATGTATCTCAAGAAATCTTCACTTGGAGGTAAATTTGTCCACATACCTTAAAAATCACACTTTCTATATGTAAGTTGTTTATCGTTGATAATTTTAGACAAATAGATACACATACACTATTGATTAAAATTAGTTTCAATCAATTTAGTTTGCTTCCAATCTTACCTATATGTCGAGCTTTCCGAATTTATTTTTGATGTAATCTGCTAAAGAAGCAATACTAGCAGAGTATGTAACATCAAGTTGATGAAAAAAAATATCAGATAACCCACAAGCTTTGAGATTTTCAACAGCTTCAGTACCTCTCTTCTCATCTCTAGCTGTTAAGATCACCATGACTTCATTGGAAGCTAACTGTCTACATATCTCTGATCCAATTCCTTTGCCGCCCCCTGTTACTACTGCAATCCTGAAAATCAATTAACAAACACACAACAAAACTAAGGTGTTAGAGCTTAGAGGTTGGTTCATGCAAACTTCAAAATTTTCAACATATACAATAAAATGGAGAGAGAGAGAGAGAGAGAGAGAGAGAGAGAGAGATGTGCCTTTTTGGTGATGCAGTGGTGACTGTTCCCTCCATTTCTGAATGTAGGAGATGATAGTGGTGATGAGGATGAGCTGTGTGTAGATAATTTTGAAGCTGGAGATATCTATTTATATAAACATAAGACTAAGAATGAGCGTATGACATGTATGCTGTGACAACTTCCTCCTTTTGTTCAACTTATTGATGCTAAGTGCTTTCCTCTTGTAGGAGTGCTTCATTTAGCATTTGCTTCAGATCTTGAGTTTACTTGCTTTTCCTGTAATGTTTGTTGTTACCTAGCTGACTTTTTAAGCAGATATTCATGTTGTTTGCTGTGTCCCCTGAGAAGATGCCACTGGTGTTGCCGAATATCAGAAAAGTTCTTAAGGCAATGATTAACAAATGCCACTATGAAATTTTGAAAATCTGTAATGAATATTACTATTATGATCTCTTAATGTGATTTCAACTTTTCTTTCTCCAGCCAAATCGTTATTTGCTATTCTGTGACTATGCCACTGGTGACCTTGCTCAGGTTAATTTACAACTTATATTCTATCTTTTGAATACATGTTTGTGTGTGTATATATATCTATGTGCTCTTTCATTTCAGTGGAGAATGAGCTCTTTCAATGGAGAATGTGCTCTTTCAATTCAATGGAGAATTATATAGTAAATATTCCAGTTGCTTTTGATGCTCTCTTAGGAGGGTGCACGGAGTGGAAGCTAGAGCGCTGGACTGTCCTTTGTGAAAACGTCTTATGATTTGGATACTTTTCTTGGTTTGTATGTTTGAGGTTGTTAAAGTTGTATTTTAGAGATTAGTCGTATTTTAGAGGTTGTTAAAGTTGTATTTTAGAGATTAGTGGAAACTAGAGTCGTATTTTAGAGACTAATTGATTTACGATTTGCAGTTATATTTTTTGGATGTTTAAAGTTGTATTTTAGAGATTAGTGAATCTTATGATTTGGATACTTTTCTTGATTTGTATGTTTGAGGTTGTTAAAGTCGTATTTTAGAGATTAGTGAATCTTATGATTTGGATACTTTTCTTGATTTATATGTTTGAGGTTGTTATTAACTTGATATGATAGAGGTTGCGGATGGAAGTTAGTATGCAGGTTGTTTGGTGTATGGATATTAGATTTTTTTACTTACTTCATAGTTGCTTCTGCTTGGTTTGTTCATAAGTTGCATTTTATAAGTTACTGTCTGCATACTGTTAGGCAAGGTTATATTCCTGTATATATATATATATATATTATATTTTAAATATAACCTTCTACAGCATATAAAATTATGTCATAAAAAGTATAATGATTTACGACGTGCAAGAAAATGCCGTAAAAGATTATATACGGCATACAAAGTATGTTATAAATATATTAAAAATGACTTTTTACGACATACAAAATTATGCAGTAGTGTGATGATGTATGACATGCAAGAAAATATCATAAAATATTATATACGGCATACAAAGTATGTCATAAATATATTCAAAATAACTTTTTACGGTATGTAAAACTATGCCCTGGAAAGTATGATGATGTATGGCATGACAAAAATGTCGTAAAAAATTATATACGACATACAAAGTATGTTATTAATATTTAATTTATTATTTTTTACAATTTTACTTGCATGTTGTAAGTAACATTCAACTTTTCACAGCATGTCATATAACAGCATTTGTGTGCATGCCGTGAAAGAGTTAGCCGTAAAAATTTAATTTTGTTGTTGTGCAAATAAATCAAAACAAAGTTGAAACAAAAACAAAAACAATCATCAAAATACAAAAGATCTACTAGGGTTACAACAAATCTGACTCCATATACAATGAAGTCTAATCTAAGGATCAAGTCTATCATCGTCTACATTGACGAAATTAGATCAAAACACTCTTGATATGACCAAGAGAACTGTACCACTTGTGCACCTTAAGGCAATAAGATGTGTGTAATTTCAGTATTTTTTTAATTGAGATCCTTTGGGTGAGGTAATATTGAAATGGTAGAGTGGAAATTTGATCTAGAATATGATAGGAATATTGAATTGCACTCAGATTTGTCAGAAAAATGCTTTAGAACCTTGAATTTATGATTCAGGTGTCAACACTAGGGCTCCTAGGGTCGACACACTTGCATTTCTTTCTTTTCTTCTTGGAGATCTGCTTCTTGGTGTCAACACTGCCTCCTTGTGGTGTCGACACTGCTTGGTCAGTGATCTAGGTGTGACACTAGTTGGAAGTTTCGACCCCTGGGGTTTCTGGGGTCGACACCCCATTTATGTTGAACTTCCTTGGAGCACTATTGTTTTGAGGTGTCAACATCTCCTCCTTGAGGTGTCGGCACTTAGAGAATTTTGGAAATTCTTGTGGCGTTTTGGGCCCCTTTTCTGGTGAATTTTTTTTTATATATTTTATTTGACTTTAGAGCTAACAATCTACTTTTGGCCTTGGGCTAGAAATTGACCCCTATGCACTCTCTTTCCTCACACTCTCTCTCTCTCTCTCTCTCTACACCGTAACCCAGCATCTCCTCTCTCCAAACTCTAGTTTTATGTGTATTTATTTACAATTTGGAAGACTAGCATATAAAATTGAGAATCATAAGTAAAATCTATTAAGAGTTCTGAATAATTTTTTTTCCTGATGTAATCTGTGTCCTACAGGGCAAATGTTTGCTGGTGACATAACATTCAGTGATACATAGTAGAAAGTCATTCTAGTTTTATTATATCATACCAGCACATATATCTCTTCTCTCTCTCTCTCCCCTTACTGTGAAATTGAAGTTTGCAATTTTTTTTATTATGTTGGTGGATTGGTTGTAGAGACTAATCAACATCGTGTCATGTGACGCTTAGGGAAATGGTTGTAGTGACTTTGACCAAGATCAATGGGACTACAACTTTTGAAGTTTCTGGTTTGGGCTACGTGTGTTAATTTGTTTGATTTTATGTATGCCAATCTGGGATTCGTTCTTACAGTGTTTATATGATTGAATTGTACGTACTTTAATAATCGCAGTTTTTGTGATGTTTATATAGCTAGATCGTCTAGCTTGCCTTGATAACTTCATAGTCCATGTTCTTTATTGTTAATATATTATTAAATATCACTTATGTTATTTTTCTGGTTTAAGAGTGAATTCTTTTCCTTTTATGGATATTTTTTCATTATATCACTGGTTCTTTTAATTTCCTGAACATAAGGAATCCTTTCCTTATATTTCTCTTTTCAAATATTAAACTAGTAAGCACATGAGATTGAGAAAGTAATTCATCTTTTAAGTGTTATCAAATTAATTTTGTGATATATTAATAATATTAATGTGCTATATATGAAACTTTTTAGTTTATAGGACCGGTGTAGAACAGAGCATCAAGTTGCAGCTCTTCTATAATCATCTTAACCGTTTTTTATGGATTAACCAACTGAATTGGATTGAA